ATTCACAGTTGAATAGTATTTCATTATATGGATGCATTAATATGTATTTATCCAGGAAAGTAAAAAGAATTAAGATGTGTTATGTACATGTACCAACACACTGAATGTAATGATGTACTGCAAACATGTACTGATAAAATGTTTTGTATTACAGGCTTCATTTTTTAGGGGAATTTTAGATTCACAGCGAAATTGAGAGGAAGGTCCATAGAGTTCCCGTAAACCTGTCTTGCACCCCACAGCCTCCCCACCATCAACACCCTGAACCAGAGTGGCCCACCCACACCATTGTGTTTCTCATCCCCAATCCATACTTTATATTGGGGTTCATTCCTGGTGTTGGGGAGTCTGTGGATCTAGACAGATGTTTAATGACATGGGTCCCCATTATTGGATCATGTAGAGCAGTGAGGGCAAACCTTTCAGAGCTTTCAGTGATACAAACAGCCTGCTGCAGCATGCATGCCATAGGTTTGCTGCCACTGGTACAGACTATTTCACTGGCTTACTGATGACCTCCAAATAATTTCTGATAGTGACAAATTAGAAATCTAAAGACTCATCCATAGATGAATAAATACATATTGTCTTAATTTTAATTTTTATTAGTACATATTTGCATTGTGAGGAGTTGGTATATGTATATAACATCTTAATTCTTTTTACTTCCCCAGATAAACGCATATTAATACATTCATATAATGAAATACTATTCAACTGTGAATACGAATGATCTAGAACTATACTTGCCATCTTGGATGAATCTCAAAAACACTATTGAGTAAAATAAGCCGGCTGTAGAAGGAGTCATGATTGCCAACAATGATACAGTACTGATGGCATTAGTGGCAGCACTCACCACGTGATGTCTGTGTGCCAGGCACCCTTTCCTTAATCAGGACAGCTAATCATATCAGGCATACAGCAGAGTATCTGTAGAAGGTTTTAGATTGTGCACAGTAATAGTACATATTGCTTGTGGAAGCATGCATATTCAATAGCATATAAAAACCTGCACAGAATGAACAAAAGTTCCAGGCAGTGGTTATTTCTAGGTGTTTTTGTTGTTTTTTGTTTTGTTTTTTGATATCAGGGATCGAACTCAGGACCTTGCACTTGCAAGGCAGGCAGCGGAACCACTGAGCTAAATCCCCAGCCCGCTTCTAGGTGGAACAGGGCAGGAAGGGTTTTGAGGATACCTGTCATGTTCATTGTCTTAACCTGGGTGGTGGACATGGGTGTTCATTTTTTGATGTGCCTGATAGAGTTCATAGTAATTTCAAAATAATTTTCAAAAATAACAAGACTGGTACAAGAGAGTGTAGAGTGAGCTACATTTGGGATTTTCAAATGATTCATCCGTAAGTGCTCGCAGGTGCATGCACTAGCCCTGGAAAGAATCACAAAGAATTCTTAAATAGGCTCCAGTACTGGGGAAGGCCTTGGAGGCTGGGGAGGAGAAATGTGCGCTTCTCTGATCCCTTTTGAATTTTCTACCACGTGTATTATTACCTATTTGTTAAAAAAAATTAACCGATGTTTGAATATTATTCCTCTTTGCTTTGCCTGGCAGTTTTCCATCCAGGACCTCGTTTGCACTGACAAAGGTCCCGGGGTTACCTTGATTGTCAGTGTGTGTTTCGGATGGAAACTTGGAGGAGCAGAGTGATTCTTGGGTGGGTAGTGGGAGCCTGGCATCCAGGAGGCTGCTTCCCAGATGTGGTTCTTCCCACCATGGACATTGAGGCTTAGTGCACCTGTCTCCCTTTGCTCCCCGGGTTGAGCCCGCCAGTTCCTTGCCAGTGGGCAAAAAAGTGGCCACAGTGCCCTTCTGGGTGCTCAGTATGGCCAGATGAACTGCCACAGCCAGAGTTGTCCTCATGCAGAGGTTGAGCCACACTGTAGTGGCTTCAAGTGTCCCCCTGTGTCTCCTAGTGTCACATAGCTGAAGTTTGCAGGTAGGATTGTTCTGCAGAGATTTATTCTATGCTCAAACTCCAGCAGGCATGAGGATCACTGGAGGGTCTGTTTGCAGAGATCTCTGGCCCCACCTGGCATTTCTGACTCGGCAGGTGGTAGGGAAGACCAGAAACTGGTATTTCCAACCAGTCCTCACATGAGGCTTCGGTGGCTGCCCCCAGTTCAGGGACCACACTTTGAGAATCACTGTCTTAGAGCGCCTCTTCTATAAGCTGGGGACCAATGTAGCTGCAGGAGGCTGTGCAGACAGCACATATAGAAGCTGTCTTTGCCACTAAAATCTCATGTGCACCTGGGCTGCACTCTGGAGGCCTCTGAATAAGTAAGACACCCTGTGCTTGTGGGAAATACAGTTTCTACCTCACACCTGTTCCCTGAGATTCACTTTGTTGTGTGAGATGGAGTACAGCCCTTTACCCAAAGCTTGAACTTTCCCCACCAGAGAAGTGCAGCCAGAAGAACAGGACACCCCAGAAGTCTCCTGGTTGGAGCCCTCATACACTCTAGTGGAGTGTGAGATGGTGTAGCCATTGCAAAAAACTGTTGGTAGCTCCTTGTTAAGTTCAACATTGAGTGGCTGTGGGACCCCAGGTGTCTGCTCTTAGGTGTATGCACCAAATAATTGAAAACATGTTCAAACAAAACCTTGGCATACAAATGTTTGTGGCAGCATTTTTCACAGTAGCCAAAGATAGGTGCAGTCTACATGTCTATCAGTAGATGAGTAGATAAATAGAATGTTGTTGTCTTAGTCACTTTCCTTGTCACTGGGACAAAATACTCAGTATATTCACAACTTAAAAGAGGAAGAGGTGGGCCCGGGATTTAGCTCAGTGGTTCCATCGCCTGCCTGGCAAGCGCAAGGACCCGAGTTCAATCCCTGGTACCAAAAAAAAAAAAGAGGAAGAGGTTTATTTTGGCTCATGGTTTCAGTTCATGGTTGGCTGGCTCCAAGGCAGAAAAAAACTGGCAGAGGGGACTGGCAGAGGAAGAGGTGCTCAACCTATGGCAGCCAGGAAACAGAAGGGAGGTGCTGGGGACAAGAACACACCCTTTCAGGTCAGGCCTCAAGGGACCCGTTTTCAAGCAGGCCCCACCTCCTAAACAGCACATTCAGCTACTGAACTCATCAGCGGGTGAATCCACTTGAGTATAGCACCCCCATGGTCCAATCACCTTCCTCACACAGAAGAATTTAGGGGGACATTTTAGATCTAAATCATAACATTGGTCTATCCATATAACGAAATAGCCAGTCATAATGAATAAAGTTCTGGTACATGCTACAACATGGATGAATCTGGAAACTTGGTAAATGAAGCCAACCACAAAGGCACAAACATTGCATGATCTCATTTCTACAAAATGCCTATACTAAGCAAATCCATGGAGATTCCAAAAAAAAAAAAAACCACACAAATCCATGGAGATGGTAAGCAGATTTGTAGGTACTGGAGGTTGGGGCATACAGGGGAATGAGGAGGCATGTGGTTTGTTTTCTGGAAAAGCATTGGCTTTTCTGTTCCAGGAGACAGACATGGCTGACCTGGTCTTTTCCCTTCCTCCTGGAAGAGCTTTTGATGTCTGGAGTGTCAGCAGCCTTTGACTGCTGTGAGGTGATAAGTTTGAGGGAAAGGATGAGGTGTCAGATCAAACCAAGAGACCACCCACTTCTCCCACACTTTTTTAAAAATTTATTTTTTTCTAGTACTGAGAATTGAACTCAAGACCTTGGATTTGCCAGGCAGACGCTAGTGAGCTAAATCCCAGCCCCTCACACATACACTTCTTGTTTTGTTTTGTTTTTGGTACCGGGGCTCGAACTCAGGACCTTGTGCTTGCAAGGCAGGTGGCAGAACCTGAGTTAAATCCCTGGTCCCTACACAGACACTTCTTGAGAACACTTTGTTCCAGGTGCTGGGTCAATGAATAAGACAACATCTAGGCTCCCCTAGGATAGTGGTGGCGAACCTATGGCACATATGCCACAGCGGGCTGTTTGTATCATTGAAAGCTGTAAAAGGTCACTACCTTAGGGCCTTCACACTGTATCTCCAGCCCTTTATATTTTTTATTTTGAGTCTTAGGGTCTTGTCAAGTTGCTCAAATCCCAGGCTGGTCTTGAACTTGCAATCTTCCTGCCTCAGCCTCCCTCAGTGCTGGGATTACAGACATGTGCCACCATGCATAGCTTTCTAAACTACTTTTAATTGGAGATTTTGCTATTTGCAGCTGCACATGGTATCAACTGATAGAGCTATTAAATTGTCTAGTCTGTTTCTATGGGTATGAGTGAAGATGTTTGTAGCAGAGTTGAGCTGTCCTGGCCACACAGCTCACAAGCCACGGAACTTGGAAGTATGGACAAGACTTTGAGGCTAGAGAGCTCACGCTGTCTGCCACACAAGTCTTACTTACACCCAGTCCACTTTTCTGCACCGAACTGGTAGTGTCTGTACCTCTGGGCTGAGCCAGGTGCTGTATTTCGTAGCAGCACGGGGTGATAAGAAAATCATGGCTTCTGAGGTTGAGTATAGGGTGCTGCTGTAACAGTAAACGTTGGAAATTACACTAAATATCCAACTAAAAGTGGACCTGTTCAATGGGATATTATGCCACCATTTCCAGGAAGGGATGGGGACATGGCAGCTACGTGAACAAGGCTTAGGGTAGAAAGGAAAGCCAAGAAAGTGGGAGACAAAGTGTTAAACCTAAGATGGGAGAATGTGAGGGAGATTGGTATCCTAGCCAAACATTTGAACAGCCTGGTGGCAGGGATGTGGGTCATTCTGTACTTTTCAGTGTGCACATAGACCAGTTTCAAGGCCTTGAAATGGCCTCGATGCAAGTCCAAGTTGCTGCGTTTCCTGGCTCCCAGGAACGACTCCCGGCTGGAAACACCAGACCCAGGGCCTCCTCTGTGGCCGCCTCCCAGACCTGCGGATTGGCTGGAAGGTATCCCACCTCCTCCAATGGAGCTAATGGGGGGAGGGTGTCCATGCGCTTTGCCATTGATTGGTCTATGCAGGGCACGTGGCAGGCAGGCCCAGTGTCCTCTGAGCGTCACTTTCAAACCTGAGGCACAGGTAGGAAAGACCTGGCCACCTTGGTGTGTCCCTGGGGCGAAGTTGGTGATATGAAGGCCATGGGCCCTCTCTTGCCTTCTGTGGCTAATTTGTGCTCCACTTCTAGCCATTGGTCACCAAGCCCCTGGCAGGAAGGTTGTGTGCCTGAGGAGGACGAAGTTTTGTCGCCAGTCGAAGGTAAGGCCTGATATGGTAGGGTGAGCACAGACTTGGTGCACAGGGCCTTGTACCGGGACTTTGTGATTAGAAAGGAGAGAGTGGGTGGGCGGCCTTTAGTGGTTGAGGTGCGGAGTGATAAAGGCCTGGCCAGAGTGCAATGGCGAAGCTGGGTATGCTGGCTGTGCGCAGTTAGGAGGGCGGGAATGTGCGCTCCCCACCCCCACCCCCACCCCCACTGCGCCTGGGCCTCGAGACGCTCCTGGTTATGGTAGGTGCAGTTTGCAGCGCGCATGCTCTAAGGAAGAGATGGGGGGGTGATCAGGTGAGGCTGGACTGCCCTTTCTGGCAGCTCTGAGCATTCTCTGGTCCAGGGTCACTCTGGGGATGTAGCCTAGAGCTGTTGGAACTGTGTTAGAGTTTAGGCCTAGGGAGAGGGGTCGGCGAAATCCTTTGGTTGTCTGTAGTAGTCCAAACTGAGGCCCAGTGTGGAAGAGAGCTCAGAGGAGCCTGGGTGGGGTTTGGCCCAGAGGAGAGTCCTTGTTGCTTGTGTCCTGACAGGGCACGGGATGGGCAGAACTGCCCCATGACGGATGACTTCCAGAGGAGTGTGCAGGACAGGGAGGTGGGTGGGTGATCAATATGCTAATAAGTAATGAGGGATCAGTGTTGTGGGGAATGTGAGGTGTGAGTGGAGCCAGCTCCACTCTTAAGTTCGGTTGTCCAGGAAGCCATGCATTTCCTCCCCAGGGGAGGAACTTTCCAAGTACTGGAGGATCCAGCGCCAAGGAGGCTCTTGGGTGGCTGTGTGATAGCAGCAGGCTGGGGAAGGCCAGATGGCTCAGGATGGGATGGGCCTGGGCAGGACAGCATCTGCTGCTGCTGTGATGCATGGTGCTTCATTTCATGCTCTATCCAGCCATCTTCTTAAGTGGTCTCCTCCCAGATGGTAAGGAATTATCACTTATTTCACTGAGCCCTTCACCGGGGCTGGGGGGGAGCGTATTGCCTGCTAGGCACTAATGGTTTCAGGTCATGTGGTTTTTCCCCAGGCCCCTGTGCCTCTGTTGGGACCTTTGTGGTTAAATTTTTTGTTGTTGTTGTTAAGACATGGTCTCACTGGGTAATTCCGGGTGGCCTTGAACTCACCAACTATGTAACCCAGGCTGGTCTTGAACTTGCTGCAATCTCCCTGCCTCAGTCTCCTGTGTGGTGGGATTACAAGCATGCACCAGCACACCTGTCTACATTTTATAAACTCTTGTTTGAAAATAGAGCATTTATTTTTAGCTTGTCCAGATGGCAGGCTTCAAGGCCAAGAAGGGCTGGTGCTTCTCCATCCCTCTGGCTTTAAAATGTGAAGTTTCAAAGCGTTGTGGTTTGTAGTTCTGAGACTCTGTTTCCTTCTTCATTTGCTTGGCCTTTTTTGTAGGCATTGAGGTGATAGGGAGGAGGAGGCTGCCCCAGTTCTCACTGGTAGAGGGATGCTGTGGTAGGTTAGGTGCTGATCCACTCTAAGCACCAGAACTGGCTCTGACTGATTCCTGAGTGATTCACAGCCATGGATGGAAGAGTTCAACAGGAAGGGCTAGGGAGGACCGGCTCAGGGCCTCTCTGCGCTGGTGGTGAGGACTCAGTCTTCAGGAAAACTGGTTCCAGCTGTAGGCCATGGAACCGGCATCTGTTTCTCTGAGCCTTGGTTTCCTCATTAGTAAAGGGGATAGTTGTTTTGTTGACACTTATCTCTTAGAGTTCCTTTGAGAACTAAAGCAGATGCCACATGTATTCACGGTGCTCTTTACCAACGACAGGTCATCTCTCTGAGAACCAGGGTTCCCTACTTACGGTTCTCTTGATCTCAGTAGAAAGATCAAGATTGCCTCCAATTTGTTTCCCCTTCCCACAACCCTTAGCTGATTCAGCTGAGTCCTACTTGCCTAGCCACCTGAACCCCTGGCCCTGGACAAGTGACTTCAGAAAGGGGCAGGGAGAAGGAATATCCTTGTCATCAAGGGCAGTTTCTGACCAAGCACCAGTTCCCAGGACAACTGTGGTTCTTACCTACCGATGGACTTAGCCAGGGAGGCTGCAGACAAACCCTGGCTCTCTGCTCACTGTGGACCTTGGCAAGACTTGATTTTCTTATCTGGGAAATAGGCTCTTGGTTTCTACCTGTAGGGCCGTCAGGCTCTCTAGGCGCAGTATTCTTACGTGGTGTTTGTACAGACAGCACCAGGTAGATGTACTGCTTTTCCTATCCTGGTCCACCTCTGGGGTCCGTGTACCAATATATGCTCAATGCTGTGTGCTCCTCTTGTTCCTCTGGGTTTTGGGTTGGCAGGGCATGTTTTTGCCATCCAAGGCTGGGAAGACTACAGTTGGGCAGTGGCAGGGCAAATGCCTTCTGATAGCACTGGAAAGGAGTACTGGCCACCAGAAGCAAGTGGCTGCTGAGTTATGTCCAAGTTCTGTGACTTGGCCATATCCCTAATCTTCAGCTCTTACAGGACCCAGGGCTCAGCTCCCAGTCATATCGTCAGGTGGCTATCTTGCCCGGGGCTGTGCAAAGTGCTCCAACTCACCCTTTAACTATTTGCTTTGAGTAGAGGCAGCTGCTGCTAATGAGTGGAATGGCGCCCCAGAGCAGCTGTGGCTCCTCTCCCTGACCATTTCCTTCAGATTCCTGTATTATTGACTACATATGTTCCCAAGACTAAAGAAACTGGATATCCAGTTTATTCTGGCTGGGTGGAAGTCATGTGAAGTCAGCAGGCACAGGGGAGAGTTCTAGATCTAAGGAACCCTTTGGTCCCCTGAGATGTATGTGGTCGGATAGCTCAGGATATGTTGATGGACACAGCACATAATATTGCCCTGCCTTTGGAAGTGTTGACGGCTTGCTTGCCATCCCTGAGGAGGTGGGGTCCCTGAGGTGGTGCTGCTGCTCCTGTCTGACCAGAATCCCACCAGAGCTCACTATTGCAGTGACTGTCAGCTCCTACAGGCACAGTACCGGTTTCTAACATGGTTACTACACTCAGCTCATCCAAGATGCCAGGAGCCACTCAGGGAAGCAGAACATTGAGCTGAATTGAGCAAACGGAGCCTGACAGCATTGAGACAAGAATTAGACCGGATATACTTCTTACATCAGTTTTCTTTTAAAAGGAAGACAGATGTATTGCCACTCCTTTAACTTATGAAAAATGGAAATAGTTTTTCTGTGATGAGTGACCTCAATCTGTAAAAACAATTATTATGTGTATTTTTACCAAAAATGTGCCAATGATCAGTACTGCTGACCTCGATAAGCATTACCAACAAGCACCACCAGGGGGCGAAACAACACAAGGAGGAGGGCCAGAAAGTCCAGGGTTTTTCTTTTCTGTGAACATTCTCAAACATGATTGTATTTTAATTAAATGAAAATACTGAAAATGATATAGTAGAGAGAACTTTTAATGGAAAATTAATTGATAACACAATCTTGTTTCAATGTTCTTTTTATTTTTTTAACTTAAATGACTGTGTATATTCCACAGTCTCAGGATGAGAAAGGCTCCCGAGTCAGGTCTAGATCTTCTACATTTCATTTTTCGAATTATTTTTTCTTTATGAAGCCCATTGATATGGGCTTCTCAGTTCAGAAAACAAGGCACTAGAACTATTTTATCAGCTACATTAATACATTGAAGATATTTTTATCCTTTCATTAAATATACAGCATTTGAGTACAATATGGTTTTATGCAGATCAGGTTCAAAACACCCAAGGCACACACTTTGTTTTTTGTTTTTTTTCCTTTTTTTTCTTTTCTGTATTTATTTGAAAGGCTCATAGTAAAGTTCCAGAATTGCTATGAACAGAGTTCCAGAGTAGAAGCACTGAACAGCGATTGTTGTAATTTTAAACAAAACAATAAATATTACGAGATATAGAACCATGTTACAAGGATCATGAAAAAACAAAGCCACGGATACAGTGTGGGTTAAGAGTTGAAGGGATAAGATCAGCTGCACTCAGAGAACCAAGGCTGGAGTTTCTCCTGTCCCCCAAGGCAGGGGCAGTCCCCTCTGCATGCAGCTGTAGGGCCACCCAGCCACTGTGGCATTTTACTTGGATGTGTACATGATATCTGCAGAAACAGAAACACATTCCAGTTTCACTGGTTATTAAAATACCTCAGATAGTGTTCAAGTAAAAGAAAAGCCTTCCAATGATTTTTTTTCCCTTTAACAAGACAAATACTGTATTTAGGAAAAAGGTTTGGAAGAAGCCATTGGACAGTGAAGTTAGGGGGTGGTGGTTAACTATTTGATGTTGAGGTGGTGGCAGGGTAAACCACAAAGACATGAAGATTGGACTTCTTGATGAATGGAAACACAGTGGCTGCTGTTCAGGTGGAGAATGTGCCAGAATAGAAGAAACCATTCAGAAACTAGAAACTCTTTCCACTGAAGAGTCCAAAAAGTTTCAGTGTTTAAGTTTAAAATATACTTCCCTTGTTAGGAGTGGTGGTGCATGCCTGTGGTCCCAGGTACTTGGGAGGCTGAGGCAGGAGGATCACAAGTTCAAGGCCAGCTTGGCAACTTAGTGAGACCATGTCTCAAAATAAAAAAGGGGCTGGGGATGTAGCTCAGTACCCCCTGGGTTTAATCCCTAGTACTGCAAAAGGAAAAAAAAAGTGCCACTTCCCTAAAGCAGAAGCAATAACCTATGTCTTCCTGATTCAATTCTTTCCAAAAGGACACAAATTCTTCCTTGTTCCAGGCCTTGGTATGTTGCTTGCTTATTAAAACATTGGGTAACGTTGACCAGACATGCTGCCCAGGTCTGTAACTATCAGGGCTTTATGGCTAGAAGACAGCCCACTGGGGTGTGGGGCACTTCTCCCACCAGGAGAGAGATCCAGGCCTGGCTCAGTCTCCAGGGCACTCCTGCTCCCACCACAGAACAGAAGGAACAGCCAGGCCTTGGTCCTGGGCTCACAGGTAGTCACAGAAGCCAGTTCTGACATTTTA